ATTTCCTCAAGTCCTGACATTGGAAATATGGCGGAAGAGAGTGAATGAAAAGGAGGCGAGAGGGTGAAGGCGAGCGAGGCGGAAGAGGAGTGCGGGACGGATTTACATGGCACTTTGCAAAACAACATGAAAAAGACTTGATTATAGGGCAGGCAGAGGGAGAGGAGGGATGCATTACATGGAGGGGGAGAGAGCGAGGCACAGGAGGAGGGGGAGAGTTAGACCGAGAGAGCGGGAAGAGGCGTCTAAAAGCAATAGAGAGGGAGATTAAGAGATTTTCATTTCTATCGCTGTATATTTGAAGCACATAGCGCATCATCATTACCCTTATCAAACACCTAAGAGTTATTTTGATCCCTGCTGAGTAGGATACATGAAAGTATGGTATATACTCGTCTCGCTCTCTGATTTATACCCAATTTATGTGCTTTTTATATCAATCCAAACCTGTAATCAGTATTTCTGCTTGGCTGTCATAGATTTTACTTTCAAACTAATTGGCTCACTCTAAAGTTAAATGTGTAATGGTAATTTTGGGACCTGATTTGGATGTAAATAAATTAATGATGAGTTTTAGAGAGCAGGAAATGTAGGTTTTTCTTCTTTTCCATATTTGTTAGTTTTCTTTTTATTGTGCTTTCTAAAAATCGGGAGGCCTGTCGCATCTTAGATGTGTTAAGTTACAGAAGTTGTCTGTTGTGTGGTTGAGCATTTACTAAAATACTGTTTACCGTTTTGGTTCATCTTGAGACAAGTAGCTAAAATGTTGGATAGTCAGCTTAAATAAAGGTAAGAATGCTAGCCTGCTGTCACATCTTTAAAGGGACCGTTGTTCTTACCACTGTCCTTACAACAACTTTAATGATATACAATTCTTATTAGGTTAGCATTTGCTAATTACATTTTCTACAACATTGCTTCTAAACTGTATTTTTTTATCAGCATTTTTGTTATAAATGATCTTAACATCCCAACAGGTTTCAATAAATCAATTGCTATGATACTGGGTGGATACTTCAAAACATCTGGCTCACTCTAGCTTGTTTCTCCAACTCCCGTTTTAATACATTTAATTCATTTCTTGTTTTTATTGTGAAACCAAGGTTGGTATTGAATATTTTTGTTTGTTGTTGCACTGAAATAACAAGATGAGGCTCTTTATTTTAAAAGCTTATGTGTTTGACATTATGCAGTCGTCCCAAGGGAGTATAAATCTGATTTCATCATCGTTTTGAGGAGTTTCTTTGTTCTGAGCCGAGATGCAACAATCACAAATATATCTGTGTTTGTTGAACATGTGGTCAAGTGTTAGTAACAGTCCTCCGGTCGGTAAACCCCTGGTACGGTTGGTCATCCGTATTTTATACAACAGCTGGTGAATCTGGGTGAGGGGGGGGGAATCGCACATTTGTGGCTCCCCTCTCACTCTGCAACTGGGTCAAGGTTGATGTGCCCTTGAGCGGGGCGAACGCAAACTGTTCTGGTCGTAAAAACAAGCTGTTCAGCGCCCTGGTTCGAGTGTGCTGCTCTCTGATTGGTCAGCTGCTAATTGCTAAAGGTTTTCCTAATTAGCTTGCTGCTTCACCCTCGATAGAAAGCAGATGTGATGATTTTGGTCTGAAGGGCTTATTTCTAATAAAATCAAGAGTAATATTCGAATCATTAAAATCCATAACAGATTGTAAATGATAAATATGGTAACATAATTAATTTTATTCCATTCAATTAACCTTTGAACTGTTATTATGCAGCTTTTCAATATGTTTTGAACATGGCCTTCCAACATGGCAGACATGCTTGTATTTTCAGTTTGATAAAAATAAAGCTTGCTTTCCTCCCAGCCGTAGTGTGGTGGTTGTTACTGTTAAACTAGGCCTCGGGACAGTGAGCAGTGTAAATATCATTAAAATCGAAGATCAGTCAATGAAGCTGCAGGTAACAGGCAAGAACGTGGAGGGGGGTTAGAGAACTGTAAAATGATAGCCTAGCTTGGATGGCAACACAAGTTAAGGTTAAAAGTTCTTGTGTGGGAAGAGCAGACGGACACATGACGAGTGTATCCAACAGTGAGTGAATGGGAAAACTTGCAAAGAAATATAAGACAATTGTGCTTTTTGGGGGTTTTCTCTTTCTTGTAGTGTGTTTCTATAGATTTGTGTGCATGTGAATGGTCTGCAAAGGCTACAATCCTAAAGTTACCCCCAGAGAGAGTATCCCCCCACACACTCCCCCCTGCCTGAAACACCTCCATTGGACTTTGCATCACTATGTAACACTTCTATTGGCTAGCGCTCCAACAAATTGATCATGATGGCCCTAGGGGGCGGGACATAACTAAGCGGTTGACCAATAACAACAGAGCTATGTGCTGCAGCACAGGCAGTATGAGAAAAATAAAGCACTTTTTGAACATTTAAGCATGTAAACATGTCACAGCAGAGGCACACAAAACAAATATGAAACCTGAACATTTGCATAATAGGCCCCCTTTAAGTGCACTCTAACAGTAATAATGTTCAACAAACTGCTTGTAAGATGGATTCGCACAGATATGTGGTTTTATAACTGCTCTTTGGTGTGATTTACTAAACTGGTAATAGACGTGTTACATAACTGAGTAATTTTAAACAAATTATGATGGGAAAACTACTTTTTTCAATCACCACACCAGAGAGTGTAATCAGCCGTAATCAGCAGTCCCATCAACTGATTTCCTCTGTTTATGGAAGCGCTGATTGGCTTTAATTAATTGTGCGAGTTGATAATCTGTATTCAAATTGACACATTTTTACTGCAGAGTGAGAAGACTTGAATGGCCTCAGCTTGTGTGTCGTATCTTTATCAGTTGGCAATGCAAAGCACTGACATGCTTTCATTATCACGACTCAGTGGCAATCTTACCATTAAAGCCCCTTAATGTGACCTAAACATTATAGCGAGATGTTTAAAAGGTGTAAACAAGTCCACCCCTCCTTAAGTGGCACTGTCAGTAAGCAGAAAGTGTTCACTGACAGGGTCTTGCCCCTGTGATCACGGCAGCTGAACTAACACTCAGAATTACAGTGAAATTATGTGACCCCTTCTGTCAGGGGAAGACAGGTAGAAAGCCAATTCAGCCATTTCTGGGCGTGCGGTCAAAGAAGGGGCATCATTCAAGTGTGTTTGTGAATACACACGTTCCACCGGCGACAGTAGAGTGATGCTACAGAGTGGCACCTCTTTTACTTAGCTTGTATCGAGCATCACAGAAACACAGTGGAGAGGGCAGTGATCTGTGTATGACAGCGGGTCAGTGAGCGAAGGCAGAACTTTCTTATCCCTCACGGTTCTGTCAGGGGACTCATGCAGTGGTTGGAGCTTGTTTATTTATCACTCTCAGCAAAAGCTATTCTTCTTGTTGCTTCTAGCGAGTTACTAAGCAGTCTCAAGTGCATTCCCATGCTCTTCTTGACTTCTGCATCATGCATGGGACAAGTTTAACAGATGCAATATTGATATGGTGATGTAGCTAAGGCAGACGCACATTTAAGGCTTAGTGTAACAAAAGAAAATTGTAGTTATTAGTCTCAAAACTTCTCTGCCTTGTCCAAACCAAAACCTATTAGTGCCTGCTGAACACGAGGATCTTAAGAAACATGGGTCACAAAAATAGTAAGACAAATTAAAAAACAAAAGTTAATCAAACATAGGTCAATAGTGACACATTTTTACACATTCGGCACAATAGTTAGTATTAATGACAGCAGGACGGTGTGTTAGGAATTAATACAAAATAAATAACAGTGACTGTGTTCATAGTGATAAAAGATCATGTCACCCAGTGCACAGTTGTAGATTATGAATAATATTGTGCTCTTTTGTGCATGTGAATGACTTTGGCAACACAGGCAACCCTTGTGAGTCGAATATATTCATTACTGATATTGGTATTTTATGAGATACGTTTAAAGGTCCCATGTCATGCTTTTCCGGTTATTACCCGTCCCCTTGTGTGTTATGAAGGTTTTTATGCATGTAAACACTCTGCAAAGTCCCAAACCCTCAAAGTACACCCTGTAGCGAGTAAAACTCTAACACAGAAAAGACCTGTCTATGCTGCCCCAGAATGCCTCGTTGGAGATTTCTCTTTTTCCATTGTTGTCTTCCCGTACCAATCCGTGGAGCTCTTTACACACATACACACACTCTCTCAGCGGCGAAACTGTGACGTGCTAGGGGGGGTGTGTGCTAGTGGAGCCTCGCAGCGGTGAAACTGTGGCGTGCTTACACTGTAGGTGCGCCGCGTTTGGGGGTGTGTGTGGGGGGGGGGGTTGCGGATTGCTAGTGGAGCCTCGCAGATGGGGGTGCTGCAGCCCCCTCAGCAACCCCCCCTTCCCGCGTCCATTCGCGATGTCTCACTGTCTCGCAGACCCCACGCAACAAGCAGGAAATGAACCCAGCTCACACTGTCCGCTCCTCGCAACGTCCCGCCAACACGGCACCCAGACCCCACGCAGCATTCTCATCTGTTTGTCATTACTGGTGTCATTTTCTGGTTGCTAACAAACGCCATTGTAAAACATAATCACTGATGTTCCGCTGTGACGGTGGTGGACTCATCAGAACAGAGTGGGCGAGCTGACTAATCAGAGCACAGTGGGCTCACAGGGAGGGGGGGGCAGGAGCTCCAACAAGCCGTGTAGGACAGAGAGTGAATACACATGCTATACAGAGATGCTGTATGAGAAACCAATGTGAGTTTGGAAAATTGCACAATATAAATCTATTCTAGTAGACCTCAACAATGGAATTATGATCAGTAGAAATGATCATGACATTATAAAAAAACATTATATATGAGAAATGTATATAGAATACTGCCAGTCTTATTATTGCTTCTGTTTTAAATACAAGACACTTAAAATGAAGGTGTAATACTGCCTGTCTTTGTTATATCTTTGCTGTTAGAGTAGAATAATTGACAAGCATGCAGACAAAATAATCCAAGAAAATGTTCTTACTCTTGACAGATCTCCAACCTCCAGGTAGAAACAGATGATGAAAACATTCCAGGTCATCCACACCACCAGCCAGGCGGCATACTGCACAGAAAACAGGGTGAGGGAAGAGAAAGTGAGTGAGAGGCAGACGAGATCTGACAGGCCTTTGTTGGAGAATTAGAAAAGCATGTTCATGTCTCGCATTTGGAGCGAGCTGGAGATGGAGAGAACAGACAGAGGGAGGCTTCACTTTTGATGTTGTTCAGATGCGTAGGAACAAAACAACAGCAAAGAGTGTGCAACCAATCACCTGAATCAAACCTGACAGAGAGAAAATAGATGCGTCTGTGTCTGTGTCTGTGTCTGTGTTGTGTGTGTGTGTGTGTGTGTGTGTGTGTGTGTGTGTGTGTGTGTGTGTGTGTGTGTGTGTGTGTGTGTGTGTGTGTGTGTGTGTCTTTGAGCGGTATCGGTTAGGGTGTATGTGAGAGCTGTGTGCAGCCGATGTGGGAACTTCTGAAAGTTTCCTGACTGATGAATTATTTTATCGACAGCTGCCAGCGAAAGAAAAGAGAAACAAATAAATTCCACAGGGCACGGTATTCCAACTCCTACTCCACATCACTGTTTATAACCTTTTATTTACTATATGATGCATGGCTATTCAATTAAAACTCAGGAGGTCAGGTTAATAGCCTCCCCCTTTCTATCAAATATAAACCATCTATATTAATGTCAAAAGTATTTACTGTCAATGATCAAAGTATTATACTTTTAACATAGAGCTAGTGAATTTGTATGGGGCTTGTTTGAAAAAACTCTTTACCATAAATAAATGCAGTCCTAGCTAGGAGTGTCTCAATATACCTATATTGGTGAGAGCCATCATGTTTAAAAAAAAATAGAGGTAAATTATCCCGTGGCTCTTGAATTATAACATAAAATATGTCTTTTGCCCCCCAGAAAGAAACCTACACTCAATTCACTCACAAAGGATGAATTTGACTCATTTTTTATAGACATTTTGTTAATATTGTGCTATTCTGAGTTTGTATGCCCATGATAATCGTGTATGCAAAACCTGATATTTTAACAGTCCCGTTCTTGGCCGAAATTTCAAGTAAAACACTACAGAACTTTTGTAAAAAATAAATACTTCCATAACTTAGTGACATATGTAACACTCGCACTGCTATTGGCTAGTGCTCCAACACATTGTACATGATCACTGTAAGCAGTTGACCAATCACTTTTTGAAAATTAAGCATGAAACATGTCACGGTAGAGGAACAAAATATAAATATGAACCTGAACATTAACATAATAGGGCCCCTTTAACTTATTTATTTTATCTTTCTTTTTCTTTAGAGAGAAATGGGTCCAATCTTGGATCCACCTGTAAGAATTTATATATTAACCATTAATTCATTTCAATTGTAAATAAAGGCTTCGCCTTGCTATTTTATTCGCATTCTCTAGTTATATGTATGATGGTGAATCAGATGTTTCAAAATCAAATGTCAAAGCATTGTTCTACACACAGTGTATTTAAAGTCATGACTATGATACTACATCCCTGCATGGCAGTGCTATGAGGCATACAAATGATTTCCAGTGAGACAGAAAATAAACCCTTGAAACTGTCACTCCATATTCAGTCCTCATTACTCGATGTAGAGAGCTGAGCGGCTAATGAGAGGCTGTCGTTAAATCTAGGGCAAATGATATGTATGTGTAATGGCTGTTTCAAATGTGTGTGTGAGAGTGTGTAAAACTCACCCCGGTGACATATCTCGGCCTGAACTGGATCGTGCCAAACAGACCCAGGATGACGATGATGATGTGGAGGAAGTTGGTCAGGATGGGAGCCCACTGGTAGCCCAGGAAGTCGATCACCTGACGCTCCAACACACTCACCTGAGAGAGGAAGAGGAAGTTAGTGGTTAGAAACAAAACAAATGATCAACAGTTGAGCCTTGCAACGGCAAAAGCTTAAACAATTTTAACAATCAAAACATGGTTTTATTGATGTCTTATTATCTTGACATGCATCTTGTTTTACTGTATGTATATATATATCGTCTTGTTCATTTAAGCCCCATATTGTTTTTGATGTATTTCTTTATTTTAATTGTATTGTTTTATACTGATGGGTTAGTTTGTGTGTTTTTTGTTGTATTTTTTGTATTTGTTTTTATATTATTCTTGTTTGTTTTTCTCCTTTAGTCAAGGGGATGTTCCTATGACTTCTCGACCTGGGCTGACACCTTTTTTTATTTATATATTATCCGGAAAAAGAAAAGCTCCCAGGACCGTGTGTGTGTGTGTGTGTGTGTGTGTGTGTGTGTGTCCAGGTTTATTATCATTCAGCCACTGAAGCCTCATGCTGAGATAGTTAATGAAGTCAGCACAGCATATGATACGGCACTGCTAAATATATTAACACACACACACAGGGGGACGGAGAGGGAGAAGACATGAGAAGGAAGATGAAGCAGAGGACAGAGGAGGCTGGGCGTTAAAAATAAAAAATAAATACCATTGGTAGCTTCATTCAGCCCAAAAAACTGATATTCACCCCGTCAACTTAAAGTGTTAAATCGCAACAGCGTACATATCAGCAAAGTTGTTTATATCCTGTTATTCTCACTGGCTTCACACACACACACACACTCTCTTCTGGATGGCTGAGTTTGAGAGCCCTAATGTGTGACCATATGGCAACACTACAGCCTTTCACAGCCACATAGCAGGTTAACACACATACAGTCACACACTGGCTATCCCACACATAAACTGACTTTGTGTTAAGTACACCTATTCAACGTTCCATTTCCCTATAATGGTGCTTATTGGAAGTGAGAGTTAAAGAAAAAGAATGAATGAATGTGTGTGTGTCCGTGTGTCCGTGTGTGTGTGTGTGTGTGTGTGTGTGTGTGTGTGTCCATGTCAGGGCAGGTCTGCTGTGCTTGCACTTGACAGCACCTGCTGTTATTGGACACACTGGGCTCAGCTGGCACCACAATGCATGTGTGTGTGTGTGTGTGTGTGTGAGTGTGTGTGTGAGTGTGTTTGTGAGTGTGTTTGTGAGTGTGTGTGACACGGTGTCTCTTTGTGTCTATGCCTTTGTGTCCCTTTCTGTCTGTTGTGTATCTGATTCATTTTATTATGTTAAAGTGTGTCCTTCCTTTTACAATTATATAGTCCTGCAATTGTGTCTCTCTCTGGCTCCCTCTCACACTCCCACACACACGCGTGCACAAAGGCCATTATAAGAAGTCAGAGGCCTCCCAGCCCATTACCGAGGCCCCTGGGGGCCCCTCTTTCATCAACAATAATATAAACAGTCTTCACTCCAGCTGGGACGTGCGCACACTCCCCAAAAAAACGTCAATAAATCACGTGCAAACACAATGGGTGGCGGGTTAAAGAATTTGTTCGCACGCTCTTGATGTAACAACCATATTGATTTCTCTTGGTTATTACTACACACACCCTAATGATCAGTCAGCAAAATCTAATCCTTTTTCTGCTGGTGTTTATTTTAACCCGAGTGATAAAGAGGAATATTCCAAAGCAGACCATCTGTTCATTTGGACTTCGCTCCATCTTTTGACGTGAAATTCTCATTACATGCTTCAGCTGTGAAACAACTAACTTCAGCTGCCTCGGTTCATCACTCTCTGTAATTAAGTCACCGCGTTCTCCTGACAGACAAAAGACAAAGCACGGGCAGCCGCGCTCTGTCATAATCCCAGCATCCTTTGCACGTGTCACACGGCAGAAGCTTCAGATAGGGTGTGAAGTCGCCTGGCCTTTCAACAACTGCAGTATGACTCCGGGGAGAGAGAGAGAGGGAGCTGCAGACAGTGTTGACGCTAGCAGCAGCTACGTCAGTTCAGTGATACGAGCGGCTGATGAGAGCTTCGCCTCCTGTACAGGTGGAGCTTCAAGCTGGCGAGCCCGGGTCCTGTGGGATCTGCTGCGACAGGCTTTGATGCTGCCGACAGAGATGTTGTTCCTTTCACTGGTGCTGCTTAAATAAAGCACAAGGGTGGGGGGCATGTTCACATTCAGATTGTTTATCTACGTTGTGCATCCACCTGTGGAAACAGCACATTAGCCTTAATGTGAGTTTATTTTCTAGAGGCAATTATTTCGAGTTGCAAGTATTGACAGAAGAGTTTTTCTCTTCTCTTAAATCTAATGCGTCTCTGCAGTGGCTGCCCAATCTGGAGGTGAATAAACGCTGACAAGTCTGCTATGAATATATATATAATGTGTCTATGAATATGTGCAGTGCGGTATCTGTGTGTGTGTGTGTGTGTGTGTGTGTGTGTGTGTGTGTGTGTGTGTGTGTGTGTGTGTGTGTGTGTGTGTGTGTCACAAAAAGCAGAGAAAAAAGTAAGTTGGAGATGCAGTTGCTGTCTGACAATCCGTCACATGTCGGCACAGAATCCCTCAGGGACCAAGGATGTTTATTTCACTTATTTTTCTGTTTGCACACACTGCCGCTCGAGCCCTTGTTAGCATGAGTTTCCAAATGTAGTAGTTGGCTGAGAGCCTGAATACAGTAGGGTTAATAATGAAGTTTCGTCGAAGAAAAACCCTGACTACGTTAGTCTAGTTTTAGTCAATAAAAACTGTTGACATTGTAGTCTTCTTCAAGGGGCCCTATTATGCTTTTGGGGGTTTTGCCTTTCCTGTATTATGTAATATAGCTTTTGGTGCATGTACATGGTCAGCAAAGGCCTTAATTCCAAAGTTCCCTCCGGAGGGAGTTTATTTCCCATAACAACCCCAAGTCCTCCAAACTATGATCATTGTGTTTTGCTGGTGTATTCCTAATCAACAGTATTGCATGTCTATTTGATTTGCCTTGCCATTAAAGTACAGCTAAAGATAGCCCAACATGTGTCGATAAACGTACAGTTAGTGTGTCATGACTCATGACATCATTTTCTTAAGAAACTTGATGATGAACTTAAACGCACTATTTTTTGTAAACAATATGACCATAACTACAGAGCTGAGCTAGAGTGAGTGCATCCATTCTTCCCCATACAATAGGGCCAAATAGGGCAAGTTTTGTAGTGGCACAGAGCATTTGAGAAGAAAAAGTAAACCACGACACGAACACAAATGTACCCAGTCCGGAGACATGTCACTAAAGTAATGGAGAAAGACACTCAAACACTTAGGGAACAGATTGGCAGCGGAAAGACAGGGCTGATGAAAGGGACGGCAGAGAGAGGCAGAGGACACAACAGGGAGGAAGTCTTCAGTGAGTATGGGAATACATTTTTGATAATGAAACGATAGGATGCTTTCAAAGGCGTCGTATTGCTCCAGACAGGGAGACAGCTGCACTGTGTGACCATCATGAGACACTGCGGTGGGATGAAAGTGTCTTTTATCCGGAACAGAGGAGGAGAAGACGATGAGGGACAGAGAGACAGGCCGAGAGATGTGATGAGAGGCCCTGAAGAGATGGAGAGGTGATTAAGATCTGACAGCTACTGAGGATAGAGGAAGAGATGAGGGAGTGGCAGTGGGTGAGAGAAGAGAGAATGTCTCATCTTCTCATCCTTCAATTCCTCCCTCCTCACCTTTTTCCCCCTCTCTCGCCCACTCATTCTTCTCCCTTCTCATCTTCTCATTTCCTTCTGCTTCCCTGCTCTCTTTCCTCTCTTACATATTTAATACGCATTCATCTGTTACCAGATCTGTTGTGTCGTAAAACAGCAAATTACCACACCTCCTTTCCTTCCCTCCTTTATGCTCTACCTTCTGTCTCTCTGTTCCACTTTTTCTTCTTCTCCATTTCCACCTTCCCTTTGTGCAGCATTTCCTTCTCTATAGCTCTCCTCCCTACATCCTCCACTCTGCATGGCCCTCTTATCTCCTCCTCTAGCTTGCCTCCTTCCCTCCCTCGTTCCCTCAGCGCTTTTGGCTGAGATTTTTTGCTTTGCTTCTGTGACCTTTAAAAAACTGCTGATCAAATTCTGCTGCTCGTCCCATTATAGACGACAGAAAGTAGAGAGGAGGAAAGGGGGAGTGGGATGGCGAAGAGGTTTGACGGAGGAGGACGAGATAAATAGCCAGAAGAAAGCTGGGGTAAGAGATGGGAGAGGAGAGGAAGTAAGGGAAGCAGCATGGAATAGAGAATAAAACAGGCAGAGCAAGTGAGGAAATGACCAAACAACACGTTATGAGTCAGACAGGAAGCATCACGACTGAGTAGCACATCGAGGTAAATATATACCGGGTTTCTAATCCTTTATTCGGAAACCATAATTTTTTTCCGAAGCCTCTGTATCCCTCGTAAACTTTATTCTACCAATAAAACTCCGAAGCGATCGTGGTTCACTGTTAACTTAATTAAGGCCGCCTGCCTGTGCCGTATCCCACTGTGTACAGCAAAAGCAATCTCCTATCGATTCGGTTCACACAACGATCAATTCATCTCCATTGGAGGCTATTAGGGACCATTTGTGGCTACTTAGGGCTCGGAGAGAGAGAGAGGAAAAGACGGCAGGGAAGATGGGGGGGACCAAAGTGATAGGGGGGGAAATATATAAAAAGGTGTAGAGGAAAGAAAAGAGAGAAGGAGGGCGGAGATGGAAAAAGACAATGGTGATCATAGGTGGAAACCCTTCCATTAAATATCCAATTTCCTCACTCAAACTCATCACAACTGCTCAATCATATCTGTAAAAGCCATAACGTCCTTAGTTGCCCAGCTATAGATAGACTGGATTCGACTAAGAGTTCTACCTGCAGTGCTTCCCACAGATCTTAAATATACTTGGGGGGGTTGAGGTGACGTGCCTTTGTGACGTGCAACAACATTAACCTTTCTGTTGGTCGCTTGTTAGCAGACCCTTCACGCGATGGCAGAGCGAACAGGTA